TAACCTGTCTCCTCCCCTTCATCTACACTGATTGAAGTGGATTTAACAAGTGACATCAACATGGGATCATAGCTTTCACCTGGGTTCACCTGGTCTATGTCATGGAAAGTGCAGGTGTTCCTAATGTTTTGTACACTCAGTGTGTATATATATATATATATATATATATATATATATATATATATATATATATATATATATATATATTTATTGTGTACAATTTAAGTGTATATCATAAAGAATACACATCTATTAGCACATCATATCGCTAAAGCTACATGTGTGTTTATAGATGTGTAATGTATGCTTCATGATATACTGTTAATGTAAATCTTCTTTCTAGAATTACATACACACGGGACAGGGTTAATATGGCGTGTTGTTCGACCAATTCTCTATGTGTTTGAACTCAGGGGCCTGCCGCTCTCTTTCTGTCTCACCCACAATGTATTCCTATTTCCTCCCTAATCTACTTTTAATGTAACCTACTTGTCATCTTGCTAACTAGTTCAAGATTGAAATGGCAGGTCATGACCAAATTAAAATGAGCAATATAGAATATTAAAGAACATTATTTTGAACGTTTTTGAACACTCTTTAACAGATACGTTCAAATTCACCAAATATTTTAAAGGGATACCTTTTAAAGGATATCTTTGAATTAACTATCCGTAAAAAAGCGATATCTTTTATATTGTCAACTTACAAGTGGATAAAACTGCTGCTGGACTGTGGCCCCTCAGTTTCAATGGCCATGACCCCCTTGCCCTTTAAAACGCTTTTAGAAGGTGATATAACCCAAAAGCCTGCGTGTAGCGAAAACAAGGGGCCAATTGTCTGGTAGTGTGGTGACGCAACAGGTGTGTGTGTGGGCCGGCAAGCATGTCTCTCTCTCTCACCGGAGGACAGGAGGATGACGGCCTGTAGCAGAGCAACCTCAGAGTCGTCCAGGTGGAACGACGACAGCGACACGCCCAAATCAAAGATGGCGTCCGACACTACACCCAGGCCTCCGTTCTTCAGCTGGCCGCGGGTCACGGCCATCTCCCCGTTAAGAGTCAGCGTCTCGCTCTCGGGGTCGTAGCGAACGGCTGCCCGTAAAGACATGATCTCCATGCAGCAGCCTTTCAATAGGATAATCTGGTCTTCACAAGGCAGCTGGGAGGAGAAAGACAAACACAGAGAGCAAACATTGTTGGAGATTTTTTATTGATTTATTTGCACACAAAAGATGAACGACTGATGTGATTGTAAGAATGAAAAGGAAAAAGGAGCATGAGGTAAATACTCCAGAAATGATGTTAGACCATTTATGTTCACATATATTAGTAGTGTTAGCATTTATTACAAACTGAACTCTGTACATCCCATGGTAAATATTTTATTTGTTTTGCTATTTAGTTTGATATATTATTAATATTGTTGATTTTGTTTAGTTTTACATTTTGAGACCATTTCTATTTCAGTTTTAGTATTAGTTTGAGTTTTTAAGACAAATAGAAATATAGCACTAAACAAAAACATAATTTACACAATTTATATTTAACTATAAACTAAATATTGAATTAATTATACATTTAAAATGTTCTCTTTTTAGTTTCTATTTTAGTGAAATTGCTTATGTTGTTGATGATGTTTTTTTAACTTGAGTTTGTTTCTGTTTAAGTTATAGTGTTTTATAACCAATATCTTTATTGACATTCTCAATGGTAAGCAGGAAATCAATCATATGAAAAGAGAACAAAAATATGAAACACACATCCCCAATTAAAAATTGGTATAACTTGATAATAATTACATTTTACACTTTAGTTTCAATAAAGTAAAATAACTGTTCTTACATACCTCACAGAACATAGGCAGCTTTTTGGCAAAGTCCACCACTCGGGTAATGGCGGGGGTGATAATTTTTGTAAACTGACTGAAGGCTTCAATGTCCACTTTGCTCCCTTCAGGTGTATTTATGACCGATGCTTGACCAATGTCCTCGGGCTGAAACGACAAGAGGAGGATGGAGGACACAGCTCAGTGCATGTAGGTACGTCCAACAGGGACAGACTACTAAAAGACTTTAAGACACAGGGTGCGTCTGAAATAGGGTGCACCCTATATAGTGCAGTACTTTTGAGCATAGGGCACTGGTCAAAAGTAGTGTACTATCTAGGAGGAGGGTGTGAATTCAGACGCGGCTAGAAAGATCAGACCACACAACACGGTCTCCTCTTTCTCCTCTAGGCGTGAGACAAGTCAACGAGTAAAACTGCACCATATGAAAACAAAGTGGACAGCTTTTCCACTGTGACCGTTGTTCAGGAGGGAAAAGGAAGAAAGGTTGAGGGAAACTTAAACAGGAGGGAATACTCAAGAAAGTGCAAAGTGCAAGCCATTCATTTTCTCATCCTCAGTTGGCAGTGTCTTTGACTAGGGTTATCCACTGATACGGTATTATTATTATTATAACATATTCAACTACTTTCCTTCTGACCAGAAGTGACATAAGAGTGATAGAGAGTAGAGCGAGTGTGTAAGCAAAGAGCCCAGATTGAGTTGAGTTGAGTAGCAAAGGACAAAGCACTGTGTACAGCACCCCCCAGCTTCTGTTGGTTTGTTTTTAAATCAATAGGAATATTGATTAAATCATAAAACACTCATTATAAATAATAATAATATCCCTTTAAGAGTCCTTCTCCTATGTATGCCTTTCAACTGTCACAGCTAGCGGAGAACTAGCTACATACTGTATGCACAGCACTTAAAGCTACTCTATATGGCCAAAAGTATATGGTTGTTGAACATCTCATTCCAGCCCTCGGCGGTCCTGTTCTGTGAGCTTGTGTGGCCTACCACTTCGCGGCTGAGCCATTGTTGCTCCTAGACGTTTCCACTTCACAATAACAGCACTTACAGTTGACCGGATCAGCTCTAGCAGGGCAGAAATGTGACGAACTGACTTGTTGGAAAGGTGGCGTCCTATGACGGTGCCACGTTGAAAGTCACTGAGCTCTTCAGTACGGGCCATTCTACTGCCAATGTTTGTCTATGGAGATTGCATGGCGGTGTGCTTGATTTTATACACCTGTCAGCAACGAGTGTGGCTGAAATAGCCAAATCCACTAATTTTAAGGGGTGTCCATATACTTTTGGCCATGCAGTGTATATGGGTCATTCTACAGAAGTGGTTCAAATTGCTGTCAAAATAACTATTAAAAAAACCCTGATAAGTCTCCAAACTTAAGATATTTTTAGCATCATGATCTATTCTAATTCATGCCAAGGCAATAACACACATATTGTTAAATTAATATAGTGCAAAATCATTGTTGATATACCCTTTTCTATTGAGGGGTGGCTGTCCCCCACCCTGACTCCTAAAATTAATGTTTGAAAACAAAGCAATTAATTATTTTTAACACTATTATTTTAATAGAACATATTGAGTTGTTTTATTATTCAATTGAAAGATACTGATACTTTATTGTAAAAAAATCTTTCTCAGAAAAATTATTTCCCCACTTTGTATGTCACTACCGAAACACACACATTAAAATACTGTAGAATGATTGTACCTTAAGCCACATCCCTACAACTATAACCAGGAAATGGGATTGCATTCCTCTCCATCATAGCCACATGATGTGTCAATACCTAACATATAATATAAAAAAAATATATATATTGTTTTGGGACTAAAATATATGTCCAAAAGATACAGTAGATAGCTAGCCATATGGTAACTATGGGGATTCATAGTCCAAAATAAGTCTAAATGGTCAAAACTGAAACGGCCACAACCAAAACAATTCGGTTCATTTTGGTATTGACATGATTGTTTTGGTAATTGACACTTGATTGGTAATCCACTGTATTTCTTTACATTTATTGGTCCTCTGTAGCTCAATCGGTAGAGCATGGCGCTTGTAATGCCAGGGTAGTGGGTTCGATCCCCGGGACCACCCATACGTAAAAATGTATGCACACATGACTGTAAATCGCTTTGGATAAAAGCGTCTGCTAAATGGCATATTATTATATTATATTATTATTGAAAAAAACATCTGATAAGATAATCTACATTAAAGACATAGATAATTATTTCTTCCTGGAAGTCAAAGTAATTGGACGAAACTGCTTCTTCTGGCTTTAAATGGAGGACATGATATTGTAGCGAATTCGGGGGGTAGCCCCAACCGGGACTCGAACCCAGGTTCAGCGACTGTCAAGTCAAGCTAACACCTTCACCGTTACGCCAAGAGGTTTAAGTGTTGGGTTAAGGTTGCTACAATATGGTATACAGTGGACAAGGTCCTCAGCCTAATCCCTCCCCCCACAAAAGTTACACAGTGACATGTCCAAATCTGCCAAAGTGTGTACGACACAGGCTGCATTTACACAGGCAGCCCAATTCTGATATTTTTTCCCCTAATTGGTCTTTTGACTAATCACATCAGATCTTTTCACATCAGCTCTTTTTCAGAGCTGATCTGATTGGTCTAAATATCAGAATTGGGCTGCCTGTGTAAACGCAGCCACAGTGTGCAAGAAGCTTGGTCTGTGAATACAGGGACACTTGTCCATTGGTCAAAGCCTGACATTGATGGTGAAATATGTCTCAAAAAAATTAAATGTAAATGTTTTGAAAATCAGTTTAAAAATCTTGCTTTTACTATTTTGCACATTTTGTATTACATTTCTCAAATTAATCTGTAATAGAAGGTTCATCAAAATTATCTATACTATGCATGGTTCTCCCTTATTTATTAATTAATTGCAACTTTTTCACTGTTTCGGTAGTGAATAATTTAGTGCCTGATATATGCAATACATATGCAATACAAACAGTGTGTGAGTAGTAGATATGTCTAAAAATAGGACCAATTTGAATGAACCACTGTATTTTAACACCAGCCTATAATATAATAGCTAGTTATAGCAGGTGCGATTTGAGAAGCGTTTTGATAGTATTTAAACTCAGTATTATATTTGGTCTACTAGTTCTTACCTTGGTTTCCTTCACCCCCACTGCACTCTGGTCAGAAGTATAGAATAAATTACATGTTATTTCATTAAGTAGCATTGCTTCCTCGACCTGTTGGACAATCAACAGAGATTGTGAAGAACGTTTCAATGAGGAACCCGTGTCAAGCCAACTAAAAAAAAAAATGTTTAAACTGAGGACAGGTAGATGACAGACAAGTAAGTGCAGAGAGAGAAAACAGGTGAGTAGTACACAAAATGCAAAGTGGAGTTTCCATGACAAGATTTAGGCTCAAGCTGAAGCATTTGTTTTATACTTATAAACGTATATTTAATTCTAGGTATTCAGGTAAAACATTTTCATAAACTTTTCTTTTGGGGGGGGGATACAAATTATACTGTTGTATGTCAAGGCTCACAATTGAGTTTATCAAAGCTGATATACATTACGATAATATAGTATAAAATAATACTATAATACTAATATAATACTATATAATAATATGCCTGCACAGGGACTACAGATGAAAATTTGCTATTTAGCCAACTCTGGAACTATTACTAATACAAAATAAATACATAAAATAAATTATAATAAAATAAAACAAATTACAATTCAATCTTTCTATTCTGTATATGTGGCCTACTCAACAGTCTATAGTCTTAGGCCTTGTGTAATCTCTACATGGAAACTCCAGGATAGAGTCAAAGAAACTGAAACAGACTTCAATCTGCAGAGGACGATTAGACTTTATGGAAAATAAAATAAATTGGTTAAATGTGAGGAGTGAAATTATAATGTAAGTACTACTCTACACACAGCGAGAGAGAAAGAGAGAGAAAGCGAGAGAGATAGAAATAAACAGTTATTCGTTTTTAGTATTTGGTTAGATTATTAAAGAACACTGCTTTAAAGGAGAGAGAAAGAAGAAAACAACAGGAATCGATTGTTCCGTTTTAAGTTAGTGTCTGCTGCGTTGAGGAACACACTTTCTCCAGCATCCAGCTAATTCTCCCCATTCTACAAGGAGATACAAAAAACATGGCCATATTAACGTTGTAAACAGTGGTGGGTTGGGGATGGGATGGCAGGTAGGGAAGGGGACAAGAGAGGATTTGTGGGATCTGGGAATGTTTCACAGAACAGACATGGTTGGTTAGACGCTGTCAGCCACGGAGGAGACGTCTCACCAAGAACTTGCGTTTCTGTTTCCAGTGGTTGCCCTGGGCGTTAGTTGACATGTGGGCCTCTGTGACCATGCGAATCAGGTCCCACTCCTCCTGGGACGGCTCAGGCCGGTCCCACACCGTCTTCTGGAGCTCATCCTTCCGCCGCCGCTCACGGTTCTCCTCAATCAACTTCCGCTTGGCGAGCCGCTTGCTATCGTCCAGCACCACTGGGAGGGAGTGGTGGGGGTGTAGAGGATGGGAAGGGGTAGAGGAGGGGAGGAGGAGGAGGGTGAGGTGTTAGGGATCAGGGGGAAGGGGGAAGTGGTAGGGCGAGGGAGGGTCAAGGAGTCACGAACGGAGAGGGGGTTAAGAGGGAGGGGATCAAGCGCAAAAAGAAGCAAGAGAGTAAGTCTACAACATTTAAAAAGTTTAAGTTCAAGGTTAAGTTTAAGCATCAGCCAATTAAAATCGTTGACATAGTGTCACGTGATAGAACTCTACATTGTAGCTGCTCCCATCAGATAACCTGGCACATGTTAGCCCTATGCTAACATCACCAGGTGGCAGTGAATATTTCCTGTAACAAATTCCTTATCAGCCTATCAAAGATCTTAAACTCTTTCTCCACAAACCAATGGCAGTTCTTAAAATAGGTCAACTCGGCCACCAGAGGGATACATGTAAACCTTGAATTTGGAGTTGCAATTTTCTAATGTTCGCAAGTATGGCCCCATACAATTTACAATACATATAATATACCATTTCAAACATATGCACTCTGCCTCTGATATTTACACTGATAATAGCCATCATTAAAAACATTATTTGTCAATAAATAAATAATAATACAAATTCGATAACAGAAGTAAAAACAGAGAACGCATGATAGAAATTGCACAATAAAACTGTTTTTTGGGGGATCTAAGAATGAATTAGCTTTTTAGAGTGTTTGTAAAGAGTAATGAATGAGGCAGTCTATTCCTGTTATGAGGAGTCATGACATTAGTTCTCCCTTTCTCTGTACTCTGAAATAGGTAGGTTAAGCAGCTCTCCGTGATGAGCCACCTGGCAGGCCAGGCATGGTCATTAAGTTCAGTTAGCAGATCTCTCAGGTATATTGAAGCGTATATATTGAGACACATTTGTAGAGCAATCAGAACTAGTTCTAGTTAGTTAATCTGTTTAATCCGTTTTTTTCCCAGCTACCATAGCGGTGGTAGTGAATGTCCTCTCAATTAAATATGAACGCTACATTATTATAAATGTATTATACATCTCCCTCTAGAAGAGGGAACATCCTCTCTAAAAGTTATTCTGGGGAACTAAACTAAGCAGAATACTACTTACAGTCTGTTGCCATGCCGACAGCGATGCACTTCTTGAAGCGACATTCCTGGCACTGGTTCCTGGTCACCTTATCGATAATGCACTTCGCCTCGTACTTACACGCGTACGTCGGGTTCAGGTTTTTCTGGATCGTCCGCCGGAAGAAACCCTTTGGGGAAAAAATATCAACTAAATGTTTAAAGGGAATTTCCGGAACACAATGATCAAAACAATTATATCTCTCTAATGTCAGGTTGGTGGTGGTAGTGGTAATGGAATATTTCATTGAATTAAATTATCATCTCTTTCCATCAACTGAATTTCTCCTTTTTGATGGATACTGCTGAAACCATGTCAAGGAGTTAAGTGTTGGTATTATTACATTTGTTATTAATACATATGTCCAGTGTTTGTATTACCTTGCAACCTTCACAGGTGATACAGCGATAGTGATATCCTGTAGCTTTGTCCCCACATACTACACATAACTCGTCCTTGTCCAGGTAACTGGGGATGTACCCTAACAAGAGAGAAAGATATCAACCGTAAACACATTATATAGGCCAGTGACGATCCGTTAACAGGGACATTATACTTATGTTGGATACAAACAGCATTCAGAAACAACCAATTATGTATGCCAGGAATGCCTGTATTGTTACCAGACAGATTTCCCTATGGGACAATAAAGTATTAATTTACTACTGTCTGACCACAAGCAGACCACTGAAAATGATCTTTTTAGACACAGAAACTTAGAAACAAAGAGGTGAATTCCAACAGATGTGTTTAAGATTGACATCATTCATTTCAACACAAAGTTCTCCAAAAGGGCCTAAAGCATGTAGCATTAACAAGAAGCATAGTTAACAAGGTAGGGTCAGTGAGGGCAAGGCTGGGGGCTCAGCCCACTGAGAGAGGTGATCCAGCCCGGACACACGAGCAGGGTGGCATGCAGGGGGGCCGTCAGACTGCGGGAGGGGAGGGGGGTAGGAGGAGAGGAGGAGGGTGGGGACAGAGGTCAATAAATGATCAATACGAGTCGAGGGGAGTCAGGGCCAAGTCATCAACCAGCAAGCTCCAGCCTTCTGTTACCCTGTCTGTAGGCTTGCTCCCTGCACCAGCAATCAATACACACACACAAAGCACAAAATGCAACAGGTCCTCTGGCTCCGGGTCAGTTCTGGCATGGTATGACACCTTAGGTCAACTTGGATTTACTCTAATTAATCCAAACTAAAGCCTGAGCGAAGGAGCTCAGGGCGTCAAGACAATTAATATCCACCCGTGAATTTACTTGCAAACCATTATGACAGACGCTAAGAACACTGTTCAGGACAATCAAATGCAGAGACATACTGACAACTCAGAAGTTTGTCAACAAGTCTTTCAAAGTCCATGGAACCATATGTTGGTGGCCTGAATTTGCCTTTAAACTTTAAGAGGTGGCTTAGTTTGAAAGTGAATACATAGTTAAACGTACATAACTACAAACTGTGCTAATGGTTTGACTTACCAACCGATAAACTCACAGAACTCAGCGTTTAGGTGTTAATACCCATATAGTATCAGAATCACTATGATTATAGTGTACCAAGAGTCACTACGATATTATATATACACATACGAGCAAGGTTCAACACTGCAACGGTTTGCAACTAGATAAAGCACTGTTCAAGCCAAACTAGAGACTATCATACATCAAATACCGTTACACACTACATACAATACAACAATATCAGGTCAGATTTAGTCCTTAATCAACAGGAGATATTTGTGCACCTGTCACATGTCTCTACACCTGCATTCCAACACAAGCTGTCAGGCTGTCACCCCATCACGCCACTGGGTTAGTCCCTACCTTTCAGCTTGTCATGCCATCACAATAATCCCTAGTACCTTCAAGGTTGTACTGCCATAAGCACTACTCCCTAGTCCTAACTCCCTACCTTTCTTGTTGACCTCTTGCATCCACTGCATGTGGGAGAAGTCAGGCTTCCCCTCAGAATAGTAGTCGGGCTGGTGGTGGTAATGGCCGAGAGGCACTTCCATGTTGCAGTATTCACTTTTGAACACAGGGTTGGGTCCTGGGTAGGAGCAGGCGTACGGCTGGCTGGGGGGCCAAGCCTGCTCCATGCAGGGAGGGTGGATGGGGTGCATGGGCTGGGGCTCACAGTATCCCCCGGGACCATCACCTCCATACATGCAGTATTCCCCACCGCCCTGCATCGGGTAGCCACCGCCCACGCCATGAGGCATCTCATACATGTCAGGCATGCAGTAGTTCATAATGGCCAACAACTGCACCGAAGGCAGGTAGGCACATACAAAAGGCTGACGAAGGCAAAAAAAAACACAAGAAAAGACTGGAAACAAGCCAAAATGTTACGTATCAATTCAGCACTAAGCGTAATTAATTCAGCGTTATGTTAAATTAGTCTAAATTAATAATTAAACGATTGATACGGATACGATAACAACGTCGTGTACGGAGCAGGTAGGGGCTATGTTGGTAGAATGAGTCTTATATACCGAGTCCTTGGGCCCACCCCTAGAGTACAACTCCTAGCACGTACTCGCCCAGCCCCACCCCACCCGCACAGCGCCCTCCCAGCCGAATGGGGCAGGAGCTTTATGACGACGTGGGGTTTCTAATCTGACTCTGTAAATCCTAGAAGTGGAATAGACAGACAGCAACAAGATGGTGATGTTCTCGCAGATTAAATGTGTCTCACAAACCACCATCACCTAGTCATAGACATATGGTGCTGTGCCGCTGGCGGAAGTTAACAACAAACAAAGACAGAACAAAATAACAAAAGAAAATAAATCCGAAATCCTTTTCTTGCGTAAGAATGAATAAGTAGTAGTGGACAGTCTCGGGAGAAATGTTTGGTTCGTCAACACCTGGTGAGTCAATTCAATTTGACAATTAGATCTGGATGATCAACAATATCATGAACATTACAGTTCAAATCTCAGAATAAATCGGTTTTAGTCTTTTTAGGCCTATTTCAGTGATTTATGTCACACACAAACTCAGAACACCTGTCTTCAATTCACATCAATCAACATGAATCCCACTTAATCCCAAACTTTTCATTGGTAATAAAGTAAAACTTAGACTTCACTTCAGACTAGAATAGAATAGTTAATTTACAAGGGTTAAGTTATACCAACATTTTCATAAAATGAAGACCACCACACTGTAATCCATGATGGACAACACAACCCAGCTAAAAACAACTTGCTTATTAGGTCAGTGAAACATCAGAAACTTCTAAAACTCATTAGAAACATCTGTATACCCCTTGTTAAATGAGTTACTGATTATAATCTAGCAAGTGTATTAGAATGCCAATATTATAGTAGCTAAGTGCAATGGTTCAAGATCATATACAAATATCAAATGTTTAAAAAAAAAAACATAATACTGAAGTTATATTTTTCTGGTGTTGATTGCATATTACTTTCTTGTTTGAGTCAGAATATAAGAAAGAAACAAAACAATTTACTCTCTGATACTCTGATATAGTTTGATCAACAGGTTGAATTTCAACGGGAGGCGCCATGTGCCAAACCACCTTATATGAGGTTAATCTTCAGACGTTCAGCCATATTGATTATGGTATTGATTATGGTTCACAGGATAAGCCTCATGGCAGAGGGGAAGGCGGTACCAATATTTTCTAATTGGACAATCAAAGTAGATGGACTAACTAAGTACAAACATATGCTTTATCACACTTAAGGTTATTTTCTTGCTAAGATATGATTGGCTAAACTTTTTTATGAGAACGGAAACACACTACATGTTACTTAATAAAGTTCCAAAAATAATAATGAAGTAATAATAACAATGTCCAAATACCTATATCAGAGTTTCAAGTAGTATTTGATCATTTTGATATTATTCAGTTTAACAATTGAAATTGTTTTTAGTTAACATTAGGTATAGTGGCCAAATAATTGCTAGAGGTCTACAAGTGAAAAATAAGAGCTATATTCTATGGATTTCAAATTGAGTGAAGAAATACATTTAATATAAATTCAGTCCAAACAAGTCAGTCAAAAAAACAACACCAAATACCTAAAGTATTGTTCCACATTACTAACCACCAAGCATCCTTCCCTACATAATACCAATAGCATATACAGTAGGACTACACAGATATCTTTCTTATTCTGCTGGTCACCTTGTCTAAAATTTTTAATCTGAAAGAAATTGATTTCTTAATTAGCCATACAGTAGTTTCCCCAAAATGTTCTTTATTTATATGAATAAATAATTTACCATTATATTAATCAAATATTGTCTCATACTTTTCGAATTCACAAAGATGGCCGTTACATGTTTTATTTATTTCGTTTCGGATGTTTTGTGTGTAAATGTTTATTTCCACCAAGGATTGTATATTTGTCTTTATCGCACCCAATTAACCAATCAATTAATGAATTTATGTTTGATATACGAATACTTAACTGCAGTGGCATCACACACCAACGTACAGGTAACTGACAAAATAATGGAAACAGTTGAGTAAATGAGGGATACAAAGGGATACATGGAAAGCAGGTGCTTCCACACAGGTGTGGTTCCTGAGTTAATTAAGCAATTAGCGTCCCAAAATGCTGGGCAGGCCATTATTTTGGCTACCATGGCTATGCCCCCATAGGATGACAATGCCCCCATCCACAAGACACAAGTGTTCACTGAATGGTTTGATGAGCATGAAAACGACGTTAACCATATGCCATGACTCAGTCTCAGTCACCAGATCTCAATCCAATTGAACACTTATGGGAGATTCTGGAGTGGTTCCTGAGACAGCGTTTTTCACCACCATCAACAAAACACCAAATGATGGAATTTCTCATGGAAGAATGGTGTCGCATCCCTCCAATAGAGTTCCAGACCGTTGTAGAATCTATGCCAAGGTGCATTGAAGCTGTTCTGGCTCGTGGTGGCCCAACACGCTATTAAGACACTTTATGTTGGTGTTTCCTTTATTGTATTTTGGCAGTTACCTGTATTTTGAAGTGGCACTGATATCGGAATTAAATATTTCAATATTTAATTAGGTGTATATTTAGTAGATATTCTAATAATTGATCAAATCAATGTCCATGCTCTTATTGACAGCTCTAAAGTAAACAGTCATTATAGACTAAACAGATGCAAGGTAACTAGTCAAATATTTTACCTACCTATGTGCCATACTTATTAAGATGAATACATTATTGCATCTAATTAATTCAAATTTAATAACCACAAATAATTGTAAATGTATAATTTGGTGCAATGTTGTATTCACTCTGTTTTACATAATTGACCATTGATTATTTTGCCCACTTTTCGGTCGGTTACAACTTATAAATACTGAAATATATGCGTTCTTAAAACATAAATGTTGAAGCTAAAATAAATGTAGATTAACCATGCCATAAATGCACACATATTTACAAACAAAATAAACATTTCTCTATTTTCATTACTAGACTAATGAATCCAGAGATAAAGGTGCATATAAGGCGATTCTGAACAATTAATTAATTTATCAATGAAGATGCTGAACAGACGTGTGTTTACGAGACAAAGACGGAGGCGCACTATAATGGCCTAACCACAGTGGATGCGTCCCAAATGGCACCCTATTCCCTTTATAGTGCACTACTTCTGACCAGAGTACATATGGGCTCCTGGTCAAAAACAGTGAACTATAAAGGGAATAGGGTTCCATTTGGGATGCAGACAGTGGATCCATAAAAAGACCCCTCTAAAAATATGTATCCACGTGACCAGCCATCCTATTGTGACCAGTGACACACCAGCGGAGTTGGGCTCAGACAACTGTGGCTAAGACTGTAACACAATCAACACATAACAGCTGCTAAAAGTAAGGCCCTTTGAGGCAAATCTGCTCCTAAAGAGGCCCTTGATACCAGTTTAACTTTTTGATGAGGTGAAGTCCTCCGTGGCCCTTAATCTCATTCATGTTTCTTAGAGGACTCGAGACAGAAAATGTCAAGCGTCTATCAGACACTGTAAATCCTGTCAATACTCTGCAATCTGTTCTAGATAAGTGTATTATTCTGTTTTGTTTCCTTCCTCTTTTTTCTATCTGTCTTTTTTTATTGTTATTTGTATATAGTGTTACTATTGTTTAATCTGAAGAGTCGATCGGTTTAGAGCTAGACCTTGTTTTTAACCTGAAGTCTAGGGGCGTCATACAACCCAAATATTATCAGAATCACCTTTATTCGCTGAGTACATTTACACAGAATTGTACTTGGTGATATGGTGCTGCTAGCAGTAGACAACATATACAGACAGAAACAGACAGAGGAATTTACACATAGTTTAAATAATAATAATAATAATAATATGCCATTTAGCAGACGCTTTTATCCAAAGCGACTTACAGTCATGCGTGCATACATTATTATTTTTATTTTTTGTGTATGGGTGGTCCCGGGGATCGAACCCACTACCTTGGCGTTACAAGCGCTGAGCTCTACCAGCTGAGCTACAGAGGACCACATACATTATATACAACAAAGTTAAGAGAACATAGAATATAGAAGTGAATTATAGTTTCACACTGAATTGAAATAGACCATAAACACCCTTCACACTGATCAACTTGTTTCCTTTGGGATTGCATACTTTCTGGACCAATATTGCTAAGTATATAACATAATCATTAATGATATAACTCTTACAGAAATACAAAAAAAGTATTCTGTTGTGTTTGCCAAAATGTTGAAACCCTATTATTGATTTGTGGTTGAAATCTGGGTTAAAATTAGACCAAAGCTGTGTACATTAATTACTTTTCACAAATTCAACCAACTAACAACATTAATGCAAAGTTATTATGTTGATAAAGAAAGTTTTTTAATGTGTAAACTATGTTGACTCATAATGTTTCAATAGTAGACAGATCCTTCAGGATACAATTACTTGATTGACTGATCAAATACTAGGTTAGTGAATTAGTTCCTTTGGTCTACTGGGTTGCACCACCATGAAACACACATTTTAAACTGGCACTAAGTAACTGTTACTGAGTAGTAAACGTTTCAGAGAGCAGAGTTTTTTGCATCCACTCTTCTGATGACATTATCTACTCTACAGACGCTTCGAAGAGCTTGAGCTGCTTACCACTAAAACTCCAAATACCAAAACATCCACAGTCATTCAACAATCAAATACGGTATTGCAAAGGCATCATTTCAATCTTAGATGCCATGCACACACCATATATATACTATTTATTCATAAACAG